CATTAAAAATAAAAACCAAAAACCAACAGCAACTCAAAAACCCAAACTCAGCTCCCTGCCATCCAGTCCATGCTGACTCACCAATGACCCTACAGGACAGGGTAGAACTGCAGCTGTGAGTTTCTGGGACGTCACTCTCTACAGGAGTAGAAACTCATGTCTTTCTCCCTAGGAGCAGCTAGTGGTTTCAAACCATGCCACTTTCGGCCCAGACGTGATTAAGGATTAAGGGCCAGGGTCTTAGGGGTCCTTCCTGGTGGTCTCTTACAGGGCTTTGAGGACATTCTGATGCCATCCTCTCCTGAGCGAGCGGAAATGCCTCCCGGCACACGGGGGAGCGGTGGCAGAGTTCATGGAGAGCTGAGGCCAGACCCACACACCCACGTACAGCTTCTGTGGGAGCCGGGCACCTTCTAGCTCCTCCAGGCTCGGTTTTCTACCCTCATCACGGTTATCAGGGCGGCCACAAGGGACATGCCAGCCGGTACAAACCCGCTGACTCACGAACTCGCAGCCTGTAAAAATCCACTGCCCTGGAGGCGAACCGGACACACGCAGAGGGACCCTAAAGGGGCAGGGTAGAACTCCTCCCTTGGGGGTTGCAAAGAAGTTACCAGGAAGGTGGAGGAAGGATGAAGGAAGCGGGAAAGAGCAGACAGGGAAGTTGCTATGAGCAGGAAGGAGCAGCGCTGGCTCCCGGGGTCCCCAGGCCCAGGGGGCCTGAACAAGGGCTGGTCGGCCCCCTCCCCTCCCCCCTCCCTACTTACGCGTTCGACATGGTTGCTCTCGGTGGCGTGGCTCGGGAGCCCGGGCGCTGCAGCAGGGACCCGGCACCCCTAAGGGCACAGGGTGTCGGGGGATGCTCTGGGGACAAGGGCAGGACCAGGGGACCCTCACTTCCAGCAGGGAGAGGCCACCGCGGGCCTCACCAGCCCGGAGCGCGTAAGCACTGAAAGGCTCCGACCTTTCCCGCCTGGACCCGACAACCCGAACCCTCACACCTAACTTTGGTCACTGGCGGAGCCAGGCGGCCTTAGCAACGAGACGCTGCGCCTGCGCAGTGCTGGGCCCGTTCCAGAGCGCAGCTCCCCGTCCCCCCGCCCCCATCTCTCCGGGCGCTCTACGCCTGCGCGGCCCTGCCTCCTGCTACCATGGCAACGGGGATGCCAGCGGGAACTCGCAGCCGCAGCCTCCCTGGAGCCACAACCTCCTAGGGAGCGAACTGAGTGTCTGGACGACCTCCCTTACAACCCTGACCCCAGACCCCCCAGGCTCCCGTCCTATCTCCCCCAGCCCATTTCCCCTAGACCATCTTTCCGCTTGCTCCATCTTCGTCCACGCTCAGCTGGGTGGGCCCGGGACAGGGTCTCAGCTGTAAAGTGGGGTCACAGTCATTCTCTCTTGCAGAATTTTCCTGAACAGCCTTTGCTGTTAGCTGCTGCGGAATGAGCCCCACTCCTGGCGACCCCGTGGCGGGCCCCGCGTCATTCCCCCC